GGCTCCGGGATCCGCTACGCCGCTCGCGGTTCCCCCACAAACTCCCCGAGAGCGGAGCCTCCGCCGCCCTCCTTCCTGCTTCCTCGTCCCCAGCCAATCAGCGGCGCGCCCCTCGGCCAGCTCCGCCAATCAGCCGCCCCGCCCTGCGCTGGCCCCGCCAGCCAATCCGGCCCTCGGCTCCCCCTCCCGGTCTCCGACCAATCAGAACCGTGGGTCGGTCGTCCCAACGCAGGGGGCAGCACGAGGCGGCCGGGGGAGGCGGTGCGGGGAGTGGTGGGGCCTGGGGGGAGGGGTACGGTGCCAAGGGTGGTGGCGGGGGGGTGATTTTCTTTGCCGATTTCTTGGATTTTCCTCTTCTTCTCCAGAGCCTGAACCCGTTTCCCATAGTGACCTGACCCTGGAACCCCAAACCCCCAGCTGCAGCCCCCCATCCTGAGAAATCTTATCTCACGCACCCCCAGCCCCACCGTAACCCCTCCACATCCCTCTTCCTAATTATCCCGTCTCCAGCCCCCACTGGAGAAAACTGCGGGCGGAGAAACACCCCACCCTCATCGGAGGCTGCTGCCCCTAGGGCAAAGCTTCGGGAAGACCGGCCGAAAATCAAATGAGAACAAACCCCCTTTCCTGCAGAAAGGGCCCCAGACTCCAGCGAAAGGGCCCCGACTGCTGAGAAGCCCCTCCCGCCCTTGCCTCATCTTTCCGACTTCCCTGCCTGCCACGTCTCCTTTCCTTTCAAGCAAGGTCGGTCCTGGCTCGGTAACCCCTCACCCGCATCTCTTTTTCCTCTTTCTGCCCTTCACCTCCAGCCCCGCTACCCCAGCTCGCAAATCACCCTCTTTAGAAACCGAGTGTGGAACCCTCATCCATTTCTAGCTGACAGCAGAGCCTGGTCTGTGAGTCCTTGACACCCACACACCCTCTTCCACCACCGCGGGGAACATCAGAGCTCTCCCAGGGAGGGGGAAGGGGGCGGGCAGCCTGACAGGCGCGACTGGACTCCCTCCATCGCGTCCCCAAGCCGGGATGGGACCAAATGCAGGCACTTACCTGGCTTCCCCCTAGTCACCAGATGCTGTGGCTTCGTCTCTCACACCCACAGTCGTGCCTTTCCAAGCCTGAGCACGCTCGAGGGGTCACCAGGATGGGTGGGCACAGCAGGTTGAGGTCAGACAGAGGAGCGGGATGTCCCTGTGAGGTGCGGGAAGAGGCTGTGTCCTGGGCACCTTGTAACACCAGAGCCCACGCTGGACTTCACTTCAACAAGCAGTGGATATGCACCCAGTAAGTTCTTGAGAAATGCTGGGTCCACCCTTGACAAAGCCTCATTCCCAATTCAGGCGGGGGAGGGGAACTTTGGGAGGTAAAAGGAGCAGCAGCAGAAAGGGCAGTGTCAAGTCACCCAAGCAGTAGGAGCTATCTGGGAAGGCTGGGCCCAGGATCGCCTTAGGCAGAGAAGAGAGAAGTGCCCAGAGTGCTGAAGTTGCCTGGGGAAGCAGGAAAAACCCAGCCCTGGAGTGTGGCTGAGGGGCTTCTCCTGAGAGGCTCCTGCACTATGAAGTGCCAAGCCTCCAGCGTTTCCTAGACCTTGGGACTCAAACTCTCACCCAGGCTGATTAAGACAATGGGCAGCCAACCACTGTGGCTGAGAAATCCCCCCAAAACAGTTCGTATCTATTCCCAGAGTGTCAAGGGGACCCAAATGGCATTAGGTGTTTGGGGGGCATGTTTAAAGTAAGGGCCTATTAGAACTGTGGCACAAAACTTCTCAAAAGTCCAGGTTCTCCTAGGACAACTGCCCTTACTTCCATCTCCTATCCTTAGAAGCACAATCCTCAAACCTATGAAAGTAGAACACTAAAGGTTTTCTCCCATTTCTGAGCCTCCCAGGACAAAGATTTCCAGCACCCACCTCTCCCAGCACATATAACAGGCCAACCCTATTCCCCTCCACACAAAATTCACCTTCTCATGTCTATCACCATGTTCTGTGGTAGCACCTATATCTCAGAGATTGGTGGTAGAGGGTAATAGCAGAGGCCACTCACTGGAGCTAAGCCATGCCACAGGCCAAGGCAGAGGAGGGAAACTGGCTCCTATCAGTAATCCAGCCTTTGACCTTGATAGCTGCTTCATCCCTGACAAGGGACCAGCTTTGAGACTAACAGGATCAGAAGAGAAATATACCTGGTGACAGTGAAGGAGATGCAAGTGACGGAAGGCACATGCTCATCTTGGGAAAGGGCAGGGTAAGCTTGCAAAAGTGGACTTCTCTATGACATCTGGAGGTTAAGATCCAGTGGTCCTGGGGCAGGAGGAAAAGAGGGTGTTACTTGGGATGCAAACGTGGGGGTGGGAATCCTGACTTGAGAGGAGACAGAGCCCACTCTAGCCACCCAGCCTGCCCAGCCTGCTCAGCAACCAGAGGAACTCTACCCTCAGAGCCTCCCATGTGGGTGGCTGCCTCCTTTGCCCCAGGAGGCTTTGGTTCAGTGGGCTATGTTTCGGGGACACTGGCTGGTGAAAGGCACTTGGTGTTCCTCCTATGTCAGTCAACTGATCTACCCCTAGGCCCAGCTTTCTCTCCATGTTGTTTTTAAATCTGGTCAGCAAACCAGCATACAAGACACCAGGGGCTACAAAGTTTGCCTGTCCCTCAAAGGGACCTTTTAGCCTCTTCTGTCCTCCTTCACCTCACTTCCAGGGACCTCTTGCACCTGGGCCTCCTTCCTTCCCAGTCCAGAGCCCTTCACATATGGAAAGGGCTCCACCTCTTCCTGCTTCCTTCAGCTCCTCCAGCTCTTCCTGAGTGGATGCTGCCCCCACTCCACTCCACTGAGCAGTAATGCCAGTCCCTGGGGCCCACCACCTCTCCTCTTCCAGGTGGTCCAACAGTCCTGAGATCCCCCACTGAAAAGGGTTTGCTGCTTGGTCTGGAAAGAGGAAAGGATCTATCAGTCTCCAGGGTCACCCCTCACTGCAGCCAGGCAGGGGCTGGCTCTTCCCAGGCACCTCCAGACCCATCAGGAAGGGTTAACTGGCTTGGAGCAGGAGAGCAGAGAGAGGGCGATGCCGAGAGGAAAACATCCAGGGCCAGAGAGAACACGCTGCACACCCCTCCCCCACCACGTACAACCAGACCGACAGCGGGGACAGACTGGCTGCTCCGTCATCCTCAGTCCAGCCGCCAGGCACCTCCCCCCACTGCCCGCCGCAGTCCTTGCAGACCGCCTGCCCTCAGAATCAGCCACCTGGCACCAGGCAGGACACCCCAGCGGGCAGCGCAGTTCCCGTGGTGGTGGCAGTGACCATTCTCTTCCCTCCATTCTATGGCAAGATCCCACCTTCTTTCCGGGGGAATAGGCAGCTTCTCCCCTACTTCCCACCTCTGAGCGCCTGAATTCTAGGTCCCAGGAACACTCACTGAGCCACCTTGGCCCCTCAACCTTACAGGAGTAGCTGAAGGGCACAGTTCTCTAGGGGAGGGACACCAGGCCACCAATTAAATTTGGTTGCAGCATTTGCCCCCTCCCCCATCATAGGAAGCCCCCCAGGGGTGGGGAAATAAAGAAAGCTGGACTTTTATAGTCCTTTTTTGTGACCTACTCCCTCTTAAAGGGATCAGATCACCCCTCCTTAAAGGGATCTCTAGAAATTATTTGCCCCCAGGCAAATCCAAGTGTGGAAGTTTGTTCTTTACCTGCTGGGCCCCCTTCCCTAGGGATAGGGAAGGAAGAAGTGCTCCCCCTGTGACTCAGCGGGAGGAACAAGGTCCCCTCCTCCACCAAAGAGCCAGCGCATGAGTGTCCAGAACTGGACCTCTCCCTCCAATAAGGGCTCACACTGCCACAGGCTGGGGCTGGGGAATCGAGGTGAGGTGGGGGTTTGTGTTGGACTCAGTCTCTACAACAAAAAGGGGTAAGGGGTCTGCAGGCAGTCAGACTTTGGGGAATGCATGCCATAGTGCTGTGTTCAAAACCCCATCTGTCCATATTGCTGGCCCGGGGAAGTCTGCAGTCTGCCTCTCCCAGCAAAGACTGTTTCTGCTTTCTCCTTCCCTCCCTCTGATGCCCTCTTTGGGGCCCCAAGCCTTCCCCTTAGGGTGCAAGCTCTACCCCACACCTAAGTTCCTTCCACTGCAACCCCAACTACTGCTGACTACACCCATTTCAGTCTACTTCCTGCCCTAGTGCCCACTCTCTAGGGTCTCACCCGTCCAACAGTATATCCCCCTCCCCCAGGCCGTCAAGGGATTGGGGGATGGGCACACCTCGGTTCCAAAGAATCCAGCAGAGTAGCATCCTCTTCCCGCCCCTTAATAGGCACCTAGTCTCACCGTGTCCTAGGAGCTGCGGGGTTCTTGGAGGGAGTGGGTATAAATGGAGGGGAGGGGTCCGAGGGCACTCCAGCCTGGGAGAGGGACAAAGTCGAAAGCGAGCACTCACTAAAGCCACCCCAGCTGTACCTCCTCCCTTCGCCGGTGGAGGGTCAAGGCCGCAGTGGGAGGGCTTCCCTGGTTCTGGGGAACCACTAAGGCCCCTTCCCTGCCACTCCCTGAAGGAGAGAGTCCCCCAGGACTAGAGCAACGAGCCCTCCCACCGGCAGCTGCGGCAGCCTCCGGCTGAGGTCAGGCTCCACCTCCTTTCTCCACTGGGAGAGCGCGGAGGGTTGTTTGTTGTTGGGGTGTGAGAGGGAGAAGGTTCGAGATCACCTGGCGGGGTGGGCACGGCTCAGGGAGTGGGAGCTGGGCCGGGTGGGCTGGTTTCGGCCGGAGCCTGGAGCGGAGAGCGCAGTACTAACCCCACCCCCGAGGTTCTGGAAAAGCAGCCCGATCCGCCGCTTTAGTTCTGCCCTCCAGACTCGCACTCGCCGGCGCCCCCGCCCCACTCTCCATCTTTTGCGGGGTGACAAGAGTGCCCCAGGCTGAGGGCTCGCCCTAGGGTTCCCACTACGAACCAGACTTCCTACTTTCAAGAAGCTTCCAGTCGGGGGCTAGAATGGGTTGTGGGTAAAGGGACAAGGAGACAGAAAATGTATGATCACTTTGTGACAGCACCGCGTAATGGCTGCTGGGGAGGGGAATAAGGCTGCCAGAGTTTGCCCGGGTGTGGGGCTGGGGTTAGGTGCGAGCGTTCAGAGACCTGTCAAGTGGTGGTCAGACTTTCTGAGGGAGCAGGCATTCTTCTTCAGGCAGACCTTCAGATAGGGGAAAGATGGGACACCTCCTGTAGGGATACCGGCTTTAGCAAAGGCACAGAGCTTTGAATCGGTTAGATGTTGAAGTAGGATTTGAGGCTGGAGCTGTAACCCTGAGGTAGGGCATTTGGGGAGGATTTTAAGAGAAGGAAATTCTTGGTCTGAAATCCTCAAGGACTGATTGGGGGAGCGGCGGGATGTGCGTTCGTGCAGGAGAGGAGGGATGTTGCACCTCAGTTTTCCTCCCAGCTCAGTCCACGATGTTCAACCTTAGATCTCACCCTTCCACTCAGGAGGGAATCGAGCGGAAAGGGATCATCCTGGGGTAAAGAATCCTCTCAGCGCTGCCGCCACTCTAGCAGCTCCTGCTCTCCACCAAGCAGGGATTCTATCTTCTTCTCCCCACCCCCACTGGGGAAGGGATGAGAAGGGTCCAAAGTCTACAACTTTAGCTTTCCCAGCTGAAGGCAGCCCTGCCTACCCCAAACCTATGTTTCCTGGAGCAGCCACAAGAAAGATGCCCGCAAATGTGAGGACAAGCTTCATCCTGCATGTGCTTTTTCTCCACTTGACTTAAGGCTAAAACTCCCAGGCAGTGGACACTGCTGATGAAAAACCATACAGAAATGCTTGCAAATGACTAAAGAAGTTGTTTTTGTTGTTCTCACCTAATCCCAGCTGTCATGCACAATTACTGTCCTGTTTCACAGATTGAGAAATTGAGGCTCAGAGTAATTAACACCTATCCCTAGTGATCCAGGGGGATTTATACCCCAACCTGCTTGACTCCCAGATCAGGACTCAGCCTCCAAATAGAATCATGTCACTCACCCCAGCAGGCAGAACTGCCTTCTTTAAGCTGGGAGGGCCATGCACTGCTTCACCCTCAGTCTGGAGTTGCCAGATCCAATGGGACAGGATGTCAGGGCATCCGTGAAGCTTCATTCTATATTGCCCTGCCTTTCCAGTGGGTCTTTTCCCACAACACATGGAAGCAATTTTTCTGAGGCTTTTCTTTGGGGTCTCCTTCATAGGTCATGCCTATTCATTTTTGTTCCCAGAACTCCCAGGACTCTATGCCTCTGGAACCATCATCCTCAGAATCAAACCTAACTTTCTGAAAAAACTCCTGAGGCTCACCCTGAGCTCATGTTGCCCTGAGCTCTTGGGGCTCCACACTGTCTTCTGCTCCTGCCTTCCTGGTCATCTGCTGCTTTGCCTAGATCTCTCTAATGTGACTATAAACCCCTGGAGCTCAGGACTATGGCTCTATATCCTCTTTGTGGTTTCCTGTAGACTACCACAGTCCTGGCTCCAAGGAAGGATGACATTTCAGATCCTTAGATACTATTTCTATCAGAAGCCCTCCATGTTTTCTTCCACAGACTCACCTGGGGATCCCTGAATGGCAGCCTCTGAGCTCAACTCAGCAGGCAAATAAGTTCTATTTGGCCCTCATAAGACTTAAAAAAAGAAAGAAAGAAGAAAGGAAGGAAGGAAGGAAGGAAAGAAGGAAGGAAGGAAGGAGGGAAGGAAGAAAGAAAGGCTAAGCTTAGGAGCCAATGCTGAAATTTTGGGAGATTTTATATGAAAATTCAGAGATCCAGTTTCTCTTGAGAAATCATAGGATCTGCTACCTTTGGCCCACATTTTCACTTGCAGCCATAGGCTGGTGCCAAGGAGGAAATGCTATCTTTATGGGATAGGCATGCTCTAGTTTGCCATGGTCCCACCTTCCCCACTTGGGGCACTTATGAGAACTTCCTGAGCCCTGAAGTTTTTCAAGCTTATGATCCTCATCCTGCATTGTGGCCACAGAGTCATGGATGACTATCATGGTTTAGGCATTTGAAGTATCTACCTCCCTTGGTTCTACTTGGAGAGCCTTGTGCTTTTTCATGCCCATCTCTAATAGTACCTTCATTATCACCCCAGGAGCATGTGTTTGCTCCCTCCAAGACCCAGGCAGGAGATGAAAAGGGAAATTAAACATAATCAGGGTTTGTGAGTGCTTCTGGGTGACTTGGAAAATAGTAGGTGCCTAATAATATTTGGTGAACTGAATAGTAAGTGATTGGTAAATATCAACACAATGAATAAAA